AGTCAGTTCGGGAGTTACGTACAGTGCTGGGTTTTTCTGTTTGTTTTTTTTAAAGTTTATTTACTTATTTAGAGAGAGCGAGCATGCAGGGGAGGGGCTGAGAGAGAGGGAGAGAATCCAAGCAGGCTCTGCATTGTCGGTGCAAAGCTCACACGCAGAGCCCAAGGCGGGGCTTGGCGTCCTGAACCGTGAGATCATGACCTGAGCCAAAGTCAAGAGCTGGATCCTTAACCGGCTGAGCCACCCAGGCGCCCCCGCAGGGCTAGATTTCCATCGTGAGGAGTAAACGCTGGCAGATAAGAGAAGTCTGATTTCAAACAGACCTCACACTTGTGGCGAAGCCTGGGTCTTTCCTGCAAATCACAACCACAGTGGTTTCCTCTCCGCCGGAACCCGGTGATGTTCATAGAAGCAGAATGTTTTCTTCCCAAACGAGGTGACGACTGATGGAGTGAAGGACACAGACAAAACCCTTCTAAGACGTGGATTTAACTCAGTAGCAGAGATGCAGCACCACGGATTCTAACAGGGAAGCGGATGACTCACTCCCTCAGGTGTTTCAGGGACAGAGGGAGGGTCCCCCAGGGTACAAGTCACATCGGAAAGGGCAGCGGTGGTGGTGTTATTGCCCAAGGCTCGTTGCTGCCGTTAGTTTGAATTCATATCAGGACCTCTGAAGATGACACGCGAGCCACCGCACAGGGAACACGAGAGCAGGGACAGACAGGTTTGCTGAAGCTCCATCTCGAAAACAGACAGTAGGTGGGGGGTGGGGGAATGAAGGAAAGGCATGGGGGCAGATAGGGAAGGAAGGGGGGCAGAGAGAGAGGCAGCAAGAAAGATGAGGTGGACCCCAGCCCATCAGTATCCTAAACTTGAGACAGAACAAAGAAAGGGCGCCTGGGTGGCTCATTCGGTTGGGTGTCCAGCTTCGGCTCAGGTTATGATCTCACTGTTCGTGGGTTCGAGCTCCCCCATTGGCTCTGTGCTGACAGCTCAGAGCCTGCAGCCTGCTTCCAATTCTGTGTCTCCCTCTCTCTCTGCTCCTCCCCTACTCACGCTCTGTCTCTCTCAAAAACAAATAAACATTTTAAAAAAAGACAGAACAAAGAACTAGTACCACTGCTTTCAACTGCAGACAAAGTATCACCCCCACTAAAGGGTCTCTATTTCTAGTTTAAACTCTATTACAGTCAGAGGAAAGGCAAATGTGAAAAGTCATCATATTCTCAGTATCCTAACAAAGGCATTTTCGGTTCTCCAATTGCCTTTGCTGGGTTTTTAATTCAGTTCCCAGCTGCACTGAGCATGCCTGGTGCTGAGCACGACAGGCCTCTATCGCCAGAAGGGCTCAAAGACAGTCACATCCTAAGGTCACTCACAATCACTTGAATTATATACTCTGTCCTTTAAAAGACGGTCTTAAGCCACAGAATGTCATTTGTTTCAGGTGTACCCAAAGCAAACATAAAAAAAAAAGTGGGAAGAAATTCTCCAATACACCAAGGATTCAAATGTGCCTTGGTTCCAATATAGGAAAAAGAATGTCAGAGATGTTTCTGTAAGCCCCACTTAATTTATGTAGAGTAGAGTCAATGTTAAATTAGAGTTCAGTTTGCTTCCAATTTTACAAAGTTTGGAACAACCATATAATATGGGTAGTAATGCTTCAGTACATTTAATACTTAAGAATGATAAAGGAAAGGCACTGTCTAATGAGAAAGACCAAAATATTTACACATATGTAAATACTATCAAAGACATGTAGGCAGGCTAATAGATTCTAATATTATTCAAGATCTAATATCTCTACTCTTAAGGTAGTTTTAAAATTTCATAAAAACTCAAGCAAAGGCTGCCCTTCATATTTAAAAAGTTAGACACTAATAAGAATAAAATGATTAGAGGAGTATATAACTCAACTATTTGCTCCAATAGTTAATCATAAACAAAGCCTTTTTGAGTTAACTTTTTTATAAACTTTTTTATAAAATGCTTACTTATTTTTGAGAGAGAGAGTGTGTGTGTGTGTGAGCAAGAGAGGGGTAGAGAGAGAGGGACACACAGAATCCCAAAAAGGCTCCAGGCTCTGAGCTGTCAGCGCAGAGCCCAGCACGGGGCTTGAACTCACGGACTGCAAGATCATGACTTGAGCTGCAGTCAGACAACCAATCGACTGAGCCACCCAGACGCCCCTTGAGTTAACTTTCATGTTATTATGATTTAATAAGCTAATGATGAGATTTTAAATAATGTCAAGTTGTCAGTAAATACATACTGTCTGGTTGACACATTGAACTTGTAGCTGCTCTTGTCTTCTACTGTTAGATATTAGCGAGTGTTCAGGGTCACAATCTCTGTCCCATTCTGTATGCACCTGCTGATAATGCTATTATTCTTCTGACCATGACCACTGAGGGCTACCGTATGTTGAGTGCGCTATGTGCCTGGCATGATGTATTTTACAGTTGATTCTTGAACAACTTGGGGTTGGGGCCCCAATCTCTGAGGCAGTCAAAAATCCACATAGAGCTCTTTGTTCCCCCAAAACCTAACTACTGAGAGGCTCTTGTAGACTGAAGCCTTACTGATGACATAAAAAAATCGAGTAACTATATTTTGTATGTTATATGTACTACATACTGTATTCTTACAATAAAGTAAGCTAGAGGAAAGAACGTATTAAGAAAAGCATATGGAAGAGATATGACATTACAACACTGCATAGATATACCGAAAACATCTGCATAGAAGCAGACCCACACAGTTCAAACCTGCGCTGTTCAAAGACCACCTCATTTAATGCGTCACCAGGAGAGGTAAACACTACTCTCTCCGCTCTGCAGAAGGTGATGGCACCAAGAGCCACTAAGCATTCCACGTGTGCCCATCTACGTTGCAACTCAGTAATAACTCACTTAATGTTCACAAAGATCCTAGGAGACGGCACTACTATTACCCCGACTTGACAGATGTAGAAACTGGGGCACCAAGCAAAGAGCCTTCCCAAGATCACCTACATCATGTCACAGAGCACAGATGCTGACCTCGATCCACTGAACGCCAAAGCCACGATCTCACTTACCAACCCAAGGAATCTGACTCTCCGCTGCCTGTCGCCCATACTGCCTATGCTAAGGGCTGTAAGAGCAAACAGGAAAGAGCAGAGCTGGTGTGGTCAGAGCTGGACGCCCTAATCCACACGCCAACTCATAAATCTGGCTGCCCCCCTACCCAACCCTGAAGAAACTCACAAGGAGGAAACTGAAATCTGGCCTCGAAGCTGGCACAGCTCAATGGTCCCAGGAGCATGGGACCCAAAGGCCAGGGCTTCTCACTGCCCAGAGCACAAGGCATCCCAGGATAAAGAGCCCTGCACAGATGCCTTATGTCCATTCAATGGTCACCAACCGCCATGCGCCCAGCCACACGAGGCTCTCAGTTACTGAGCTTAACAAGCCAGGCACCTGCCTCACAGCCAACAATGTAGGGAAACAAACAACTGAGGAAATGATGGAATGAGGGCTTTGGAATCATGGCAAATTATTTTTGGATACGGTGGGGAGGGGACTTCCGGGGGAGAGGGTCCATTCTAACAGTGTGTGAGGACGTTAACAGAGTCTGAAGGAAAAGGTAATAGGGAACCGAGTCTCGGAAGTGTTAGGCCAGGAGGGAGGTAAGAGGCAGCCCCTCTAGGAAGAAGACCCCGGCGCTGGCAATGAGCTGACTCACTTCACAACCATCAACCTGGGGACAGACAGAGGCGCTGAGAAGACACGAGTCTCATGTCCCGAGAATCATGCTGGGGTACGTTTACCACAGAAAAGGTTTTCAGCTTGGGGAGAAGTTCCCCATTCCCACCCAGCACCCAAGAGGAGGGTGCTGGCACTTGATGGGCCACGCCGGAGCCCAGGCTCCCTTGGGAATACTGCAATGCCTGATGCATTCTTACTGCAAGGTGGCCTAAGTAATAGCTTGACGACAGTACTACAAAACAAGAACATGAACCAAGCACACGGGAGCACCAGCGGCCCCCACCTCACAGAGGCTGCTGTTCCCCTTAGCAGTGACCGAGAAGGAGAAATAAATGAGGAGCTTCATTCCACAGAAAATATGAAACTACTTTACCCCTGATATTTTTGCCAACTGGTTTAGGGCACTTATTGCAGACCGGAGGCCTCTATTAACTACATGACTCCATGCATGGAGAGGAAAACAATGGATCTGTTTGCACCTCAATTTAGGCAGTATTATCTCTAGGGAGTGGCTTTGGTGTAGAGTCGCATTCTGGTTTATAGAGCTATAATATTTCATTTTTGTGCCATCTCTTTATTATGTGAGTGATTGGAAAAAACACACCACACCTCACACCAAGTGAGCACACTTATAAGTTTGCCGGTCAGGGGACAGCACACCGCTGCTCCCTTACTTACCCCGTGAATGACTGAGGTGCTAACAGTTCAAACTGGGGAAGCTAAGTATCCACAGAATTCACAAAAAGCCATCGTATGCAAACACCCAGGCAACTTCAAAAAGGGCGGGGAGAGCCCAGGGATTTCACTGGGGACACTGGGGACAGGGACAGTCAGGGGCAGAGACCAGCAGATACCGTGGTCAGGTAGGCGGCAGGTCCAAAGAAAGAGGGGCTTTCTAGCAATTTCCTCCATCCCCGCCAGGACATGAAAGACAGGGTGGAGGGTGTGAGCCCAGGCCAGCGAGCCGCACCATGCGACAGACTTCACAAGCAACTGCTGGATGAATGCATGTAAAGAAGGGGGGGGTGAGGAGGAGGAAGGGGGAAGGGGGGAAGAGAGAAAAGGGAAAGGTGCAGAGAAAGAAGGAACGGAAGGGAGGAAGGGAAAGTAAATCAGAATGGAAAGGGTGGGCAGGCGGTGAAAGAAGACGCTTAAATCCTGGTCAACAAATAAAAGGATGGATATACTTTACGATCATCAGGGTTACACATACATTTAATAACAGAAGTTATAACATGGAATTACCTTTTATTTCCCTCTCAGACCTCAGAGTGTCCTGTTAGCGCTTGATTCAAGACGCGGAAAGAACAGAGTAGGCGCTCTGGATGTCCAGCTGGGGATTCCTAAAAGGAAAAGGACACGTGGAAATTATTCTGGAGAATAAAAGTGGTTCATTTTGAAAGTATCGTTAAAAAAAGACCGTATTTCACTGAATAACAGAGACCGTGTATTTCCTAACATCCCTGGGAAAAAATTGAGCCCAAATTTCAAATATGGCTGCTCTAGCAAATTTCAACCCTAGGGAGGGCTTTGTGTGCGTGTTTACTGGAAAGCAAACCCAACAAGGAGCCTGTGTACCATCTGCAATCTGCCTAGAGCCCCCTCCCAGATGGCTTTACGGCAAACTCAACGCCCCCACAAGCCTTGTCAGTCAATTCTAGTCCCCAAAACCATGCAGGAAATGAGGGAACTTCTTCACGAACAACTGGATCACTGGGCAAGGAAACACATACGCTTCGGGGATTCTGTTAACATTTGTAAGGGAATAAAATACTACGAAAGGGGCGTTTTTGCTTGTCCCGTTCTCCAAACGCAATTAAGCATGAGCTCTCTCACACACTCACACACACACACACACACACACACACACACACACACACACACATCCCTACTTGTCCCAGGGCTTCTTTCTCTTGGAGCCTGGACAGGCCTTGGAGGCAACATGGTCCCACACTGTGAGCACACAATGTTTCATTTTTAGGAAGGAAACAATGAACACTGACCGGGCATGCAGGCAGCCCCAGAAACAATGTGATTCCATTTCACAAAGGGGGGGAAGAAACGGAGAGTCCAATCCGTACGTCTGTCTGACACATAACTGCTTTCGTTACACTTGGATATACTTGGATCAGTCATGAAAGTGCTTGTTATCTACACATCTGGCAACTCAAAAGAAAATACCAGGGTGGAAAACGGAACCGTCTTCTCTTGCATCTGCTTTCCTTGCATACCATGAATCCAATGAACTAGATCTTTTTTTACTTGAGAGGGGGAGCTGGAGACAGGAAAGGAAAACACATTGACTGTAATAGGTATCTTTTTTTATTGAGATCTACTGTGTAGTTTGCATGGATATAGGAGTAAGCAATAGTAAAATTTTAAGGAGGCACTTGGGACTTCAACAGACAGTGGCTAGGATCCACGTTATTAAGGTCGATGCCAACTTCCCCCCCATCATTATTATCTCCTTTCTGGAGTGAAACGTAATGAACCATAGATAAGCCGGAAGTTTATTAGTAAGGCTGCAAATCTTGACCTAGATTTTGCATAGCTTTAAAAAAAATAAAAAGAGAGCCTGAAAATTCTATTTAAATAACAAGGAAGACTGACACTTCCCACGCTCACTTTTAAAACTTTCAAAACAATCCACTTTCCCCTGTATCTGGCAAGGTTCAACAAGAACCTAAAGTAAAAATTCGTGCCAGATCAAAATAGAAACAAGAACTCCAAGTTCTACAGCTCGTTTCAATTGTTTACTACCTGCAGTGTAAGACTTTATTTGGGGGCGCCCGGGTGGCTCAGTCAGTTGAAGGCCCGGCTCAGTCGGTTGAGCGTCCGACTCCAGCTCAGGTCATGATCTATTCATAGTCTGTGAGTTCGAGCGCTGCGTCAGGATCTGTGCTGACAGCTCAGAGCCTGGAGCCTGCTTCGGAGTCTGTGTCTCCTTCCCTCTCTCCTTCTTTCTCTCTCTTCCTCTCTCTCTCTCTCTCTCTCTCCCCCCCTCCTCCACTCACACTCTGTCCTTCTCAAAAATGAAAACATCAGAAAAATTTTTAAAAAGCCTCTATTTGCCAGAATGATTCCGGAATTCAAATGAATAAACTCAATACACATTTAACAAAGCATCAGAGAAATGTTTATTACATTGGGCCCAGAGGTATCTGACTCATAATAACAAAGAAAGTTTTATATTTTACAACTAGTATTTTCTGTTGCCCTAAACTGTGTCAAAAATTCCTTTTCATCTTTTTCATTACTTTTGCTTTTTCTTTCTCACACTTTCAAAGAGAGAAAACAACAAAGAGGTCAACATTACTCTAATGACTGAGAGATGTCGAAGTCACACCTCTGACTGGGGTAGAGAGTAACACGATGAATGAATTTCTGGATTGGGTTTATCTTCAAAGTTGCCACGTGACATTAAAATCATCTTAATAAAAACAATTCACGGCACTTATTTTAAAGCTAAAACCATTGTATGGCCATCTGCTCCAATCCACTCATTTCAAAGCAATGAAAGCCAGAGTGGTCAATGGACCTTTCCAAAGTCACACAGCTTAGCTGGTCCTTATCTCTGATTTCATAGGTACCAATCCAGTGCTCTATGAGATTATAACTGACCTTTAATTTCTATAAATAAATTCCTCAGAGCCTTTAATCTATTTTCTACACATCTATTACTCTACACAGCATGAACACCACTTGATAAGTCAACTTTGTGTTAATGCGAAACACTACTGAAAATGATGAAAAATATGCTCTGCCTTTCACTCCCCTGATAGGCTAGCTTAAGCCATGAATGCCCAGAAGTCCCAAATAAAACTTAGGATACTCTTAGGATTTCCTAACCTAGATGTGTCTCCTCTCAAAATAGAATCCCCCTCTCTTACTCATAGTCAAATCATAGTCATCGCTTTGCTACAACACATTTTCAAGAAGATTTTACAGATAGCTAGCAAGCAAAATGTAGGAATTCTCCAGTAAAAGCTTATATAAGCAGTTTTTAAAGTAAGAATTTCAAGATAATTTACTATTAGAGCCATCCGTTCAGACAGTATTCTGATTCCCTGAATCTCTGGAATCACTCAAGAGCACTTAATTTACCTAGATCAGCAACTTAGTATCCTCATCAGCCGTCATCTCCCTACTCCTCAGTTACTTACACTGCACAGCGCCAGATGCAAGGGAACCAGAAAGTGAGAGATCCCGTCCTTGCCTAATGTGGGCTGATGAGGGAAATAAATATGGGGGCTTTCACGGAGGCGTATAACTTAGGCAAGGTTTGCCCAAGATCAATGTGTATGTAGGTATGTGTGTGTAGACAGGAGAGCCAATAAAACCACTTGGGTTTTTGCAGAGAATGAGTTGACAATTTAGCCAACGGCACAGCTGGCCCTTGACCAACATGGGCCTGGACTGTGAGGGTCCACTTATATCCAAGTTTTTATTTTCTCCAGAAACACAGCACAGTACTGTCAATGTATTTTCTCCTCATAACTTTAATTACATCTTTTCTCGAGCTTATTTTACTGTAAGAATACAGTGTATAAAACACAATATAGAAAAGATGGGTCAATTTTTATGTCACAGGTCAGGCTCCCGGTCAACAGGAGGTTATTAGTAGTTAAGGGGCAGCTCCATTAACATGAATCATCTGACTCTTGATTTCAGGTCATGATCTCATGATTGAAGAGACTGGGCCCGACGTGATGTGATGCTGAGGGTCTCAGAGCAGAGCCAACTTGGAAATCTCTCTTTCCCTCTCTCTACCCCTCCCCTCCTCGCTCTCTCTGTCTCTCTCTCAAAATAAATAAATAAACTTAAAAAAAAAATAAAGAGTAGGCTATTAGTAGTTAAGTTTGGGAAGGAGTTAAAAGTTATATATGGATTCTGACTGCATGGTAGGGGGTCAGCACCCTAACCCCTACATTGTTGAAGGGTCAACCATAGATGTAACGACGTAGGATAAAATAAATTAAACAGACAGATAACAGAAGAATCCCTCTGACCATGCCCAAAACAGCAAAAAATAAAAAACAAAAAAAAAACCCAAAAAAGTGCAAGAAACAAAATATCCATTGAAAGGAATTCCTTTCTTGAAAATAAGTCAGCAATAAAATACCTTCCTTATATTTCTTCAGAATAACTCATTAACATATTACAACCCAAGGCCAGACAAAAGACCCCATTGGGAAAAAAAAAAACAGGATTTATACACTTTCCAGGAGGAAAATAAATGCCAAGTGAGCACAAGAAGGAATCCTCCATATAATTAGTCAGCAGGAAATGCAAAGCAAAACCTTAACGAGATACCACTAGAAACTCACAGGAACCACCAACTTTAAAAAAGGCGAACGTATCAAGTGTCTGCAAGGAAAGGGAGCCACTGGGATCCTTATACAATGTTACAGGCACTTGGAAAAATAATTGGGCAGTTTCCTGTAAAGTGAAACACACAGCACATGACCCAGCCAGCGGGTTCCACTTTGAGACCTTTACCCAAGAGACAGTTAAAGACACAAATTCTGAAGACTTGCACAAGATTGTTGATAGTAGCCTTATTCACAATAGCCCCAAACTTGAAAGAATGCGAATGTCCACCAACTGACAAATAAGCAAACAAGTTACATTGTACATTGTACACACAGACAAAAGAACACTACTCAGCAATGAAAAGGAAGGAATTACTGATGCATATGACAACATAAGTCAATCTCAAAAACATTATACTAAGAAGCCAAACACAACAGACCAAATGTATGAATGCATTAACGTGAACTTTGTGAGAAGGAAAAACTATGGCAAAGGAAGCAGATCGGTTATTGCCAGAGGCCAGGGTAGGGGGAGAAAGGGCCGAGAGCAGCAAAGACGGACGATTGAAAGTGCGGGGTGGGGGAGGGGGAAGGAAATGATGGATCTGTCATGACAGAAGTAAGGCTACAGGATTGCGCACATTTGTTTTTGTTGTTGTTTTTAACATTTTTTAAATGTTTTATTTATTTTTGAGCAAGTGCAAGCGGGGAAGGACGGAGAGGGACAGAGGATCTGAAGCCGGCTCTGCGCAGAGAGCAGTGAGACCGACGTGGGGCTTGAACTCATGAACCAAGAGATCATGCATGACCCAAGAGATCACGACCTGAGCCGGACGCTCAACCAAGGGAGCCACCCAGGTGCCCCGATTGCACATATATGTGAAAATTCACTTATACCCTTCAACTCAGTGAACTTAATTGTGTATCCAGTATTAACTAAACAAACCTGATTAAGAACAAACAAAACTCAGTGCCACCATCATTTAACCTGAAAATCAGGATCTCATCAAGAAAACCTAAAAATCCTTCAG